GGTCATCTTTGGCGTGAAAAGTTTTACGGATGTAAGTTTGTAATAATAACAGACCACAAATCCCTGCTACGGCTACTCAGAGGACAAGGCCCATAGCTTCAGGTCAAATTCAGCAGTGGGCTCTCATTCTAAGTGCGTACAATTACAAGTTGGAACATCATCTGGGAAGCCAAGTAGCAAATGCAGATGCCTTGAACTGCCTCCCTCTGGCAGAAACACCACTGGTGGTGTCACCACTAGAAGAGTCCATTCTGGTTTTAAACTATCTGGACACCCTTCTAGTCATTGCTGACAATATCAGACTGTGGATGCAAAAAGATCCCATCCTGGCAAAATTAAATAGATGGTAATGGGAGAAACAAAAGGGTCATCACAACCAGAATTGAAAACTTTCGGGACTTAGTGAGATCAGATCATTGTAGAGGATGGCATTTTATCATGGGGAGCAAGAGTGATTGTCCCAAGCATAGGTGGCTGAACTCCACTAAGGGTCATCGAGAGGTGTGCAAAATGAAGATGTTGGTGAGAAGTTATGGTGGTCAGGATTGGATGCAGACATAGCCACATTGGTGGGGCAGTGCCTCGAGTGCCAACAAGGATAAATATTACTGCCAACAGATCCCACATCCCTATTTGTGGAAATGGCCGGATAAATCCTGGAATTGGTTTCACATTGACTATGCTGGCCTTTTCACGGGCTCAGTGTTCTTAGGCATTGTGGACGCCCACTCAAACTGGTTGGATGTGCAGAGTTCATTCATCAAAGAAGGGGACAAAGATAGAAAAACTGTGAACATCTTCTGCAATAATCGGACTCTTGGAAATGTTGCTCAAAGTCAAAAGGCCTTCATTTACCAGCAGGGGATTTAACTTTTTCTTAAAGTCGAATGGCATTCTGCATAAAAAGACAGCTCCATACTATCCATCATCCAATGGTCTGGTGGAAAGAGCAGTCCAAACTTTGAAGCCAGGCTTAAAGAAACAGCTCACAGCTTCATTTTATACCACACTGTCCCGGTTATTGGACCACCCCAAATGCAATTGCAGGGACAGCTCCAGGTGAGTTGCTAATGGGACGAAGGTTAAATCGGATCTTTCCGGAACTTGGGGAGAGGGTGAACATCAGGAACACCAATGCTGGAAACAAGGCTCCTCTAAGCAGGAGAGACAGTTTACTTCAGGGGACGAAGCTTGGTGTTGCAACCAGGGGAATGGCCCTGCATGGGTAAAAGGCACGGTCAACACAAGGTCAACACAACTGTAACGTACAAAGTTCGGGTATGTGAGGCAGTCCTGAACAAGTACATGAACCACATGAAAGCTGCAAACTCACAAACGGGATAGGAGCAAAATATACCACGCCCTCAGAACAGCTGGAAAGGTTGTTAGAACCTGTGGGTTTTCCCCCTCCATCGAGCAACAATGAAATCTTGGAGTCTGAGATGGTCATGGCAGATGTCACAGTCCAACACCTTTACCACCTGAAGAAGATGAATTCCTTCCGAAGATATGGACAGCTCTTGCGGCCAGAGCAGAGGCTGCGTCAGAGGAACCGGACCCCATGTGAAAACACCCCAGGAGACGCTACAAGAGAAAAACAGGCCTAAGTCCCCGGACTTAGAGGGGTAGGGATGCAAAGATTGTAATTATGTCAGCCAGGTGGACATTATAGAATCTGGGACTGGTTGGGACTGTTAACCTGATCCAATCATGGAGCCCTGGCTGACAAATATAAACAGCAGTGTCAGAGGTTCTGTTCACTCTGACAGCTGGCTCTGAAGAAGCCAGACCAGTGTCAAATACAATGCACATGTAAATAAAGGGTGACTTGGTGATGGGATACTGGCCTCTGTGGAGTTATTTCACTGGGAATCCATTGTGAGCTTTAAGTGACTTATGAAAAAGAGAAGTTTAGGTGAACATAGGAGTGGATGGGAACTGGGGTTTTCTAACGCTTCCTGGAGGTGGAAAGGAGGAGTGGCAACCTTTCCCAGGGGGAGTCAGGAAATCATACAGTCACATAGCTAGAAGGAAGTGGGAGCAGACAACAGTGGAGGTCAATGCAATGAATGCAGAATTGTAGGATGCTTAATGATCTTACATGAGCAGGCAAGCTCAGTGAATGCTTCCTCAAATACCATATCCCACCAACTGAACCAGACTCAGTCACTGCTCAAATCACATCAAATCACACTCAATGACACAGTTCCTCCTCCCTTGTCAAGAACAGGTTATACACAAGGGCAGCAGGAACTAACCAGAAGAGGAGAAGCAGGCTTTTATCCTGTAATTCACATGGGGGCAAACCGGAAACATTACCAACTACACAGTAGCCTTGGCTGAATCCAATGAAAACAATGATATCCTCATAGCTAATCCCTCTCCTCATATCCTACATTTCCTCATCTCAGAATTTCTTCTGCCTACAAGTTGCAGATAGCATAAATATATTCCTCTTACTTTAATCCCTACCTCCTCATTGCAGCCTTTTCCCTGTGACTTTTGACTTATCAAATGCCCAAGAAGCACAACCTCACTAGGCACTGGGGCAAGAGCACAATGTTGTACTTCAAATTAAATACTTGCAACCACAACTCAGATTTGCATATATATCAAAAGGATAGCTTAGAAGCAGGGTCTGCATCTGGTGAGACACCAGTTACAAATGAATTGCATCTGTCAAGACATACAAAACCTGATGATGGTGTAAGAAACTAGAGAGCAATCTTTTTCCTTAATTCTAGATTTATGCTCAGAATATAGCTTTTCTACCTTCTCCCTAAACAATTTCCAGTGCCCCACAAATGTGCAAAGGGCAGGTGACTGGAATAAAAGCAGAGGTGAGCTCATCAAGATGTTGAAGTTGTAATGTTTTGCTGTGAAGGACTTCAATGAGGAAAAAAAATCTGATGAGCATATACAATAAAACACTTGGTGCATGGAAGGCTTGCCAGAAAGCAGTCAGGGGACATGGATGTTTCTGGCACCAACTTGGTACAATACTTTGAGCAGAGCTAGAACTCCATTCTTTCCAGCATGATCAGCTCTATTTGCCCACTTGGTGGTCCCAAACATGATGAAGCAGATCATGGTGGATGCCACCAGAAGTCTGGGTGCTGCAGAAGTTGAGATTCATTACATATCAAGTCAATTAACCTTGATGCAAACTTAAACTGATGTCATGTAAGGTCCAACAACTGGCAGTATGGTTGTGGATACTGCAGGGTGTCTTGTTCTCCATCAGATTACCAAGATTGCTGAAGCACCACCCTGATCGAGTGGAGCTGGCACCATTAAACAGAAACTTGTGTTGTTCTCTCAGCAGTACTGATTTTGGGCTCTCTACCCTATCCATTCCAGTCATGACCTTGCTGTTGACCATCAACCAGCTGGCTCTGGTGCCTGCCATTCGTGCAGAGATGCTAAATTCTGCAATCAAGTTCTCAAGACAGTTCTCCATGGTTTTCTGCAATCTACTCTACTGAAAGTTAGCAGCCTTCCACCAGCCATACTGCATTTACTGGGAGTACATAGGAGCAGGAGGATGGGAAAAGGCAGTCAGAATGGATGTTGAAGAAAAGGAATCAGTTTGCTACTGCCTAATCCACTGCATATTATTCTGGAGTAGGATGGTATCTCAAAAGTTTGAGCAACAGGTAAACAGCAGCAATGCAGGAGCAATATGAATGGTGTCTGCCACTAACAGGATGCAGATGTCAAACCAAAAAGACACTCTACCTATCAGACAAGTCAGTAATGTGGTAAATGAATTTCAGTGTTGATATGATATCAGGTATCTAGACTGAACATCCCCAGGTTTGGAGGATCTTAACAAACAGGACATCCCTTTGGCTGTTCAGAACAAGCAATCATACCCAACGACTGCACACTTGCAAAGCTTGCAACATAAGATCCAACATGAGGTGTGATTCCACAATTGGACAACATTTGATTGATAATACAGACTATGCAAAGAATTACATCAACAACTGATTTAGGATTATCACCTGGGCTTGCAGTTGCACTTTGTGCATTAATAAACAATGCCCTGTTCTTTGCAGACAGAATTTACTTCACCTGTTACAACTCAACAAAGTGGGTGACAGCCATTCACTGGTTCATTGGTAAAGTCATTGCCCTGAGAAAGCACATTAAAACTGTCAATCATCAATAATTAATACATCCTTCATGACAACGCCTCTACTAATCAGTGTCCACTTGCCAACCAATCAACACTCCTCTCATACAGTCTAAATATTGGCTTTCTCTTTAATTGGCATTGGGAATAGAAAATTATGCTGATAGAGTGGAATAACGAAGAAGGGGTGGAATTTCAATTGAAACACAAAATGCTAGAACGCGTATAAATGCTTTCTGGACTAAAGTGCCTGTTTTTGAGCTGTATATTCCATGTAATTGTATTTAAGAAAACACCTTATAACAAAACTCTAAATACTTGATGGTTCCATTAAGTTATGCAACGGAAATGAGGCATTGGGAGGAAAAGTGGAGAAAAGTGGGATTCTGCTTGGTGCTTAACGTGTTCACCTCTGCAAGCCTAAAAGAGTGTTGGCTGGAGCATGGAACTCCATAAATTACAGCTCTGTCATCAAATGAGCCTTGCACACTGATTGCTGTCATAATCTGCCTGCTCTGCATACATCTAGTAGATACTAATTGCACAAATGATATTTTTTTAAAACCAAGAAGTTGCCACAAGTACATGTGCATGGCTCAGAAACCACTCTGGATCCGAGTACGTCCAGAAAACTGGGCACTTCCAATCCTAAGGGCATGTTAGCTTGGCCCATATATCCAAATATTTCTATTTAACATTCCAGAAGGTTGTAACATATCCAGGTTCTGTCCATAAAATTAAAATTAAAATTAACATAAAGGTTTAAGTTCTTTAAATGAACATAATACATCATTCCATTTTTAATGCATCTTTGTCAAGAGTTAATTTAATTAGAATTGCCTAATAAAATCAAAGTTTTTACCTGCACCATTGTTCTGAAATCCATTCTACTCCGATAACCTCTCCACGTTTTCTGTATGATGATTGCTACTTTCTGTACATATCTTTTGAAGAAAACAGATTTTATGTTATTAATTTCTTTATAAAATTTATGGTTTGAAAATTTTATTTTAAAAGTAGCTTTCTTAAACAGTCTCTACTTTTCAAGATGTAGGGCAGCTACATCATATCAGAACAGAATTATCTTACAAGAATTCAACAAAGTGCTATGCTCAATTGCAAGCCTTTCTTTGTTGACACTGTGGTAGGATTTCTGACCCTAGAAGGGAACAGCTACAGAGTCAGGTGGGTGTGAAAATTTATGCCACTAGCTAGCATGCCAATTTGCTGGCATCATTGCTTCTTCGCTATATTTTTGGAGGCAGGATCAGCAACTGAAGAGCCAGTCCTGCAAACACAGGTAATCACTTAAAGGGATTAGAAGTCCCGTTACAGCTGATTGTTAGAGAGTAAGTAGCATTTTCTAGTGGCCTACAGGCTCACTGATACATCTGGGTCTTGGCCAGAAGGGATTTGGAGGGTGGGCTGGTTGGATTGCTAGAATTTGAATTGGTCCAGTTAAGTTAAGACTCTCTATTTTTCTGGGTTCGGCTACATATCATCACTTGTGGAGAGGGTTTTCTTTTCACAGTAATAGCCTGGCAGGTAAGGCTATTTCTTTCAATTTCTAAGTTTTGAACTATGCAGAGACGGCAACTCTAAACAGAAGTGTTCTCCCTTCATCTTTCTAAACTGCCGGCTTAATCTTCTTCCAAGGTAAACAGCAACCTCTTGGCCCTTCAGTTGAAAGCCAACCTGCTTAATTGGACAGCGAGTCTGCCCTCTGGCTACTAATTGCCCCATTTTTAGGAAAATCAAAGCCAAGTGACTGTTACCCACACAGTGCAGGTTATGATCCCTATTTGACACTGACATCTGGGTCCTATGTCACAAGGGAAAATCCTGTCCTATTCTATCAATGATGCAGTTTACCAAGAAACCATGTTACCTCTAGTATAACAAGACAGCAAGTCTAGGTAGAGAAATTTATTGATTAGACATGGAAGCTCTTTTAAAAACCATTTAATAAAATTAAACCAAATAAACCAAATTCAACCAAATTAAACTGGACTAAAGAATGGCAATCCCTTAAAGGAACACTGCAACAAATCATTCAAAATTAAAATCAAAATTAAAATATTTCATTGCAGATATTTATAATGATAATGCAACCCCTAAAGTAACAACTGGCCATTCATGTCTTCAAGTGTGCCAGTGGACACCACAAGCCTCTCCAAGGACAACAGGGAATGTACACAGTCCCAAAAGAAGGGCAAGCAGTCAGATTAAACGTATTCCTTAACTGCCCACTACCAGGATCTGTTTGTGGCCACTCTGGCTTAAGCCTTGACCAGACTAGTGAGGAGGTCCTAGTTGACTGTGGAAAGATTGCTAATGTAATCTTTATGTAATGTTATGAATTGATGGCATTTTACAGATTGTTATATTGTGTTTTCAAGTTTATAACCTGTAAAGTGTTCCTTTCGGTTTGGTAAACATTTCTTTTAAACTACAATTTTCTTCTCAAATTTCACCCCTTGTATTCTTTTCGTACTGCACACCTTCTGGATTAAAAAGGATAGATTAGAGAATAGCCAATTGTCATTTTGGGCTCTGAGTCCCAACCACTGGCAGTTTGTGATTGGAGCCACTGACTTTCCTTTCCATTATTAGAAATGCGTAAAACAGTTGATCAAATTAAACAAAATTAGACTTAACAGCCACAAAAGGACACTGTAACAAAAATCAAACTGTCAAAGGAAACTGACAAATTTAGATCAGAATGTTAATTTGGGTGGAGAAAATGCACATCCCCATCTGGCAACCACAGAATATCTGAAGCATAAACGGATACCACATGCTCCATCTCTAAGAGTATTTAGCATGAATGGAACCAGGGAAGAGAGACAGGCTGGCCAGTGCAAAGACCTCCAGCATGGCCATTTCAGCAGGGCCCAAGAACAGACACTGGAAAATTTCTCTAATTTACCAACCCTCACTCTGCACCGGGAATGCAAAGATCAAAGATCAGGTGCAGAGGGCTAAAGTCTAAACAAAGAGTTAACATTAGACCCTCCTGTAGCTCACAGACCACTTGAGACCGCAAAAAATTAAAGATAGTTTGGAAGTCTGCGCAGATACTTAACCTATAGTTTTACAGGACAAATTTGTGCGACACCTTCTGCCCCAGATCCCTGATGTCTAGAGGGATGACCTCAGAACAAAAAAATGAAATAATCGCACAAGTACAGGTTAACAGGTATGATTTATAGCCATTACAGGGACATATTTACAAGGACATCAAAGCTGTGGACTAAATATTCAGGGTCATTTTCAGGGATGTTTGGAAAGGACAGGTATGATTGAAATCTTGGCAGGACAGCATTGATGGCACAGGATGGAATAAGCATGATAGCAAGAAATGATCTTGGGTTGGAAGATATAGAATCCATATGGGTGGAGGCAGGAAATAAAAAGGGAAAGAATACATTGGTAGGAATTATCTATCAGCCCTATATCAGTAGTGAGAGAACAAATCAGGAGATAATATGTGCATGTAAAAAAAGCAATACATGAATCAGAGGTGACTTTAATCTTCGTGTAGATTGGGGTAGTCAGATTAGCAGAGGAAATCACGAGGAAAAGTTCATAGAATGTATTCAGGACAGTTTTCTAGAACAGTATCTTGTGGATCCAACAAAGGATCAAGCTATTTTGGATCTGCTGATGTGTAACGTAGCAGGTTTGATAAATGCTGTGAGAGTAAAAGATTCCCTAGGAAACAGAGACCATAATATGGCAAAAAATTAGTATTCTGTTTGAGAGGGACAAACGTGGGTCGGAAATAACTGTGCTAAGCTTAAATAACGATAATTACAAAAGAATAAGGGCAGAGGTTGCTAGAGTGGACTGGGAAAGGAGTTTTGCAGCAAAGATGGTTGCGGAATAATGGCAGATGTTTAAAAAGTTCATTGCTCAGAGCAAAAAAAAATTCCAGTGAGGATGAAAGATCCCAGGGAGGGGATAAGCCAGCTATAATTAACCAGGAAAGTTAGGATAGCATCAAATTGAAAGAAGAAAACGTATGTGACAGAGATTAGTGGTAAACCATGGAATTGGGATAGTGTTAAAAAATAAAGGAAGACAAAAAAGAGAGAGAAAATAAACTTTGAGGGTAAACTTGCAAGTAATATCAAGACAGATGGCAAGAGCTTCTTTAAAATGTAAAAAAGGAAGACAGAGGCCCCTTAGATAATAAGGTTGGGGAATGGGGAACCAGGAAATGGTAGTGGAGATGAGTACATACTTTGCAACAATCTTCACAGTAGAAGCCAATAATAGCACTTCAAATTACTAAACAATCAAGGGGCTAAAAGAGAGGAGGAAATAATTACAAAAACTATCATTAGAGAAAATATGAGATAACAAGGTGTAGAGCTGGATGAACACAGCAGGCTAAGCAGCATCAGAGGAGCAGGAAGGCTGACGTTTCGGGCCTAGACCCTTCTTCAGAAATGGGGGAGGGGAAGGGGGTTCTGAAATAAATAGGGAGAGAGGGGGAGGTGGATAGAAGATGGATAGAGGAGAAAATAGGTGGAGTGGAGACAGACAGGTCAAAGAGGCGGGGATGGAGCCAGTAAAGGTGAGTGTAGGTGGGGAGGTAGGGGGGAGATAGGTCAGTCCAAGGAGGATGGACAGGTCAAGGGGGCGGGATGAGGTTAGTAGGTAGGAGATGGGGGCGGGGCTTGAGGTGGGAGGAAGGATAGGTTAGGGAGGCGGGGACGAGCTGGGCTGGTTTTGGGATGCGGTAGGGGGAAGGGGAGATTTTGAAGCTTGTGAAATCCACATTGATACCATTGGGCTGCAGGGTTCCCAAGTGGAATATGAGTTGCTGTTCCTGCAACCTTCAGGTGGCATCGTTGTGGCACTGCAGGAGGCCCAGGATAGACATGTCGTCTGAGGAATGGGAGAGGGAGTTGAAATGGTTTGCGACTGGGAGGTGCAGTTGTTTAGTGCGAACTGAGCGTAGGTGTTCTGCAAAGCGGTCACCAAGCCTCTGCCTGGTTTCCCCGATGTAGAGAAGGCCACAACGGGAACAGCGGATGCAGTATACCACATTAGCAGATGTGCAGGTGAACATCTGCTTGATGTGGAAAGTCTTCTTGGGGCCTGGGATGGGGGTGAGGTGGAAGGTGTAGGGGTAGGTGTAGCACTTCCTGCGGGCGCAGGGAAAAGTGCCAGGTGTGGTGGGGCTGGAGGGAAGTGTGGAGCGGACAAGGGAGTCACGGAGAGAGTGGTCCCTCCGGAAAGCAGATAAGGGAGGAAAAAATGTCTTTGGTGGTGGAGTCGGATTGCAGATGGCAGAAGTGTCGGAGGATGATGTGTTGGATCCGGAGGTTGGTGGGGTGGTACGTGAGGACAAGGGGGATTCTGTTTTGGTTGTTATTGAGGGGAGGGGGTGTGAGGGATGAATTGCGGAAAATGTGCTGGGAAACTAATGGGATGAAAGACCAGTCACTTGGATCTGATGGAATGCATCCTAGGATATTAAAGGAACGGGCTACGGAGATATTGGATGCACTGGTAGTATTCTTAGATTATCCTTTAGATTCTGGAAAAGTCCTAGAGGATTAGAAAACTGGTAATACTGCACTTTATTTGAAAACGGAAGGAGACAAAAAAAAACAGGCCCGTTAACTTAATGTCTGTTATTGAATCTTTTATAAGAGGATCTAAGAACAACATATAGAACTACATAATACAATCAAACAAAGTCAGCATGGCTTCATAACAAATTTACTCAAATTCTTTGAAGAGGTAACAAGTGGTATTGATAAAGGGAAAACAGTACATATAGTATATTTAGATTTAGAAGGTATTTGATAAGGTACTACACATTAGGTTATTTAATAACTTAACAGCTCATGATGTTGGAGGTAGAATAGTAATATGGGTAGACGACTGACAAACTTATAGAAGATATAGGGGCAGCATGGTGGCCCAG